AAATATGTGTCATAAAAATAACAATTGCTTTCAAATGATCAAATGAGACTGCTAAACGTCATCACCCCGAAAATTTAGCTTTAGCCTTTATCTTAGCGGTGGTGATGCCCAGCCACCCTGATGTCGTTTTTTTGTAACATTAAGTTAGCTATCTTCTTCTGGCGATTGCATCGATGCTTCAAAATAAATATAAGTGGTGTTAATATCTGGAGATTATCAACATATGTAAGAATCTTAAACGTGTACGACACCAATCTTATTTTCTGCAATATTCTAAAGTCCAATTGAAAAATAGTATACCATTGGATTTTTGTCGAGGGAGCCCTTGCGATGCTAACGACATGAACACTACGCTAAATTCACAAATACTTATCAATGGAGTGTATATCTTAATACTCTACACAACACATCAAATCATTCTTCAGACTCTTGTTCCTACTGCAGTTTTTACTTGTCCAGCAGTGTACCTTTTATTCAGTCTTTTTTTCTTTCCTCATTTTGTCTTCAATCATAATAACAGCTCTCTTTTATCCAATTATCTTTCTACTACTTCTAAGCGGTCTGCTTTTTCCCGTTCCTATCTTGTGAAACATTGTGAAAGAAATAGTCAAAATAAGCCTGGACAAATTCAGCCGTCAGTAAAGTGGTGCTCCAGGTTGTGCTGATTCTCTATTTTTCCTTTGAAAGATACATGAACCCCAATTCCCAGGAAGAGGACTTTGCTTCCTTTTGCTGACAAAGACTCTAATACCACTTAATGCCAGTTCAGCAGCTGCAGACCTCAATTGCTGTGTCCAAAAGCCAACACGGTTCAAACCCCTCTTCCCTTTGCTTTGACATTTTTATGAACTGAGATAGAACAAAGCGAAACATTTAGGAGCTCTCTCCCTCGCTGCAGCCTCCATGGTTTTTAGAAGATTACAACATAAGACAGTCTTTCTGAAGTGAACAAAAAGAAGAAAACTAATGAGGTTTTTTGCGCCTTTTATCTGTAGTGCCAAAATGTTTTTTTTTCTGTTGAGGAATCTAAATGGGAGCTTCCATTTGATGTGGAGCTAATGGCCGAGAGAGGGATTCTTTATCTGTGCGTTTCCTCTCTCAAGATAAGAAGCCTATTTTTTTTCATACCTTAAATCTTCACGGCCAGTGGGATGGAAAAAAAGATGACAGTGAGATTGCGAGAAGTTGAAAGCATGCCAAGTCTTAACGACTGATTAGACCATCTCGGTAGCTGACAATTTTGGAGGGAGATTGAGAAAAGCGTAGCTGTTACATCAGTCTCTTGTTTTGCTTCAACACTTCGCAGGATCCTTAACAGCTGTAGTGATGTGCAACGAGATGCTGACAAATATGCAAAGCATAAACCGGCGCAGGGAAATGAAAGAGCCAAATAACTGTCACAGGTAATAGGAAATAAATTGGAGAATGGAGAAAAAAGAAAGCTAGACCAGGGAAGAAATGTAGACTTAGTCGCAGCACAAATATCCGTACACTGAAAAAACTGAAACGTTGACTTTAATTAATTGTATTATGTCAACAGATTTCAAATAACTGTATTAGGTTAGTTGAAAGCATTAATATATAAGTTGATTCAAACATATTAGGTTCAACTTAATATTATTGCTTTCAACTAACCTAATACAGTTATGTGGAATCTTTTAATTAAATTCAGCTTTTCAGTTTTTTCAGTGTATATACATCCACACAGCTCATGTCATTAAAATAATTGTTGAGTATGGACACAAAGCTTGTGTATTTGTAATGGACATAAGCAGTCAACAACAGGACTAGCTAAGGACAGGTTTGTTGTTCTGTGGAGGTTCCAAATTATTTATTCCTTGATAAATATTTTTATATTTTTGGATCTGGCTTTGTGCTTGTTGGAGATATTCCCCCCTGGCAACTGGATAGCTACGTTGGAGTGAAATGAATAAATAAAAATAGGTCTCAGTACACTTGGCACTGTCTGCCTGCAATCCTTGCCATTTTTTGCGCTGTGTTGCCATGAAGACGTGCATGCCTTTGTGTCTGTTTTGCACCATCTGTTCCTGGAAATACTAATGTTGGAGATGCTTTGGATTGTGACCAATGGGGAAATGCACGATAGAACTCACAAACGCTGCATTTAGCCGAGTGTACCGCACCTGTTGTTATGTTGAGGCCACATGTGAACAAAGCAGGGGCCCCATTCCTGGACCCTTATCCTGTCCTTATTTGTGCTTTAGCCATAGCATTCGATCCCTATCAATGGTATACAATAGACTGATTATGAGCTAGGACAAATGAACAAATTCCTTTATTCTGATAATGGTCATTTCATATCTCCATAAAGATACAAATTATGATATAGCGAGTTTTCTATTTAAATTAATCAAATTGTCTATATGGGAATAATCACATGGTAAAGCCAATTGTTGTATCTTCCTAAATACACATTAATTTAGAAATGAAATGCAAAATGAACTTGGCAGTTACCAGTGTAATTTTTGGGGAAATAAATAATATGTCCAGCTATACATGAATGGTAATGTACTGTAATGTGCTGTAAAAAAACACAACCGCAAATGTTATTATTTACTCAATTTACAATTTTTGAGAAGGTAAGTGCGAGTAAGCACTCGTTTTTTAAATCAATTTAGACAACGCATTTGTGAATCAGAATATCTCAATATTATAATATATAATAGGGCCTCTTTAAATAAGTATACAGTCATTACAAGGCTAGGACTAGTCTTCAGTACTATTGTACTATGCCATTCATTCAGTCTCCCCCACAGAGCTGCCAGAGAGCCATATAGTGGGGATGTTTACTTGGAGGAAATACAAAAATGTGAACAAAGACACATGTGGATTGTCTGTATATAGGAATATAACACAATAGCAAAGTGCAGTAAAAACCAAATAATATGACAAAGAAAGGAGAATTCAAGTTGTTGAATGAAAATAGGGCACATGTTTTATAAAGGCAGAAATGTGTTCATGGGGAGAATGTAATTTCCCATATTATACTGGTTGTTTACCGGCTCAGGCTTTGAGTGCAAGCTCCATTCAGCAGAGCCACCAGCCGTCTACAGTTTGGAATTAAAGGATTTGAGGCAAGAGGCCAGGGAGGGTTGAGTAAGTTGACTTTGTACCACCTAAATGTGACTTAAAAGACCAGAAGCATCTCTGCTTTTTCTGCAGCGTGTTAGTAAGACGGATTAATGTTTATCTAAATTCTTAGGACAATTGCGGAAAATATGTATCTACATACTTAACTTAGTATATTTTTGTAGTTTCATTCAGCTGGCCTGCTCTAGATCTCAGTGTGGAGCATTAGTGGTCAGCAACTTAGTATTTACTCATTCACTGTACTTAAGTACAATTTGAGTTATTTGAACTTTACTTTAGTATTGCCATTTCCTTCTAAGGCACTATAATTACGAGGCAAATATTGTACTGTACATAGTGGTATATTGTAACATAAGGATCCCTATTGTGCATTTTGGGGATTTCCTTTTCCTGTAGTGTTTCTATAGGTTGCAAATGGTCTGCAAAGACTAACATCCCAAAGTTCCCTCCAGAGGGAGTTTCTCTCACACACACAGCCTGAGACGCCTCGATTGGACTCCTTTTTTTACCTCCATAGCATAGCTTCATCACTATGTAACAGCACTCAAACACATTGTACGTGATAGACTAAGGGGCGGGACATCTCCAAGATGTTAACCAATCACAACAGGGCCGGCCAGCTAACCAATCAGAGCAGACTGGGCTCTGGTTTCAGACAGAGGGTGAAAAGAGGTGCTGCAGCACAGGCAGTGTGAGCAAAAATAAAGAGCTTTCTGAACATTAAAGCATGGAGACATGTAACAGCAGAGGCACTAAATACAAATATGGAACCTGGAAATTAGCATAATGTGTCCTCAACATTAATAATGATAACACGCTGCTGTTTTGCAAAATGAGTACTTTTATTTAAGTACAATTTTAAGTTAGTACTTTTACACTTTAAAGTACATTTTGAATTGAGGACCTCTACTTATAGCAGTTTTTCTTAACCATAGTTTTACTACTTTTACTTTTAATTGAATATCTTCTAAAATATTTGTATTTGTTATTTCTTCCTCCGCTGGTGATTGGGAAGAATGAAGATATAAAACGTATTTTATCATGGAATATCAATATTTAAAAACCAACCCTAACTGTACTGCAGCCCCGCATCCAGCAGAGGGAGTGCTAACCTAAACCCCCAACAAGATGACATAATTGAGGCTCACCAGGTCAGCGATACACAGTAACTATTAACTCATCAAAATGTATTTTTATTTAAGAATAACTTGACTCAGGCTATGCGATTATTACCTACCATGTTTGATATCAGCACTTCATATGTTAGGTATCACATTTCTAATGCACTTAGAATATCATTTAATTTCCCAGTGGTGTGTTGAGAGGTCAGAGGGTGAAAGCTTTATCGATTTTTGTCATGGGAAGAAGAGGCACAATGCCGATGGAGGAACATGGTCATCACACTCTTTCCCCCTGTGCTGCTCCCTTAGGGGTTTAATAAGGACACAGTGAGAGTGTGTGTTCCTGTGCCTTGATAGCAGATACAATAAATCATTTATCAAGGTTACATTTGATTCACTTTCAACACACTTTTAAATATTAAATACTTCCCTGATTTGGGAATTCTGCTTTGAATAAAATGATATTGGATTATGAAAGACACTTAAAACAAGGCGTTTGATTGGTGATTAATTTGATTAATTTAAGATTGAATTATGGGAATATTAAAACGTTCCATTCCATAGTTTGCAGCAGTTTTATTATGTGTTTAACTTGTATGAGGCAGCCTGGATCTTTTTTCATAAGGGAAGAGCTTGCTGAAGTGGAGCCTCGTGTTGTGAATGTGTCCTTATGCGGTTAAACGGAGCCTGACTCGCAGGAATCTCTGCACAACAGTAAAAAGCCTCTGACTGGTTAGAAAAAAGGCAAACCAGCTCCGCGCGCAGAGACGCACGGCGCCTCATCCAACCAGCGCCAGTCCCATAAACCAGGGGGTAAAACTACGCGTTCAAACCAGCAAAGTGACTGCAACTGGAGGACACGTTTCTCTTTTGGATTATTTCTCTCCATTCAGCCGCAGAACTATTCTTCTCCCGAAGTGAAAGTAAACGATCACAGATGAATTCTCAGCACTTGGAAGTGGGTGAAAATCCAAGTGGCGTTGTGTGGATTAATTCTCGAGTTACGATGCATCCGAACTTTGATTCGAATATAGATTCACTCTCCGAGGAGTAAGAGTATTATCTGTGTTATTGCGGAGTTCAGGAACTCTTCCTTCACCCGGATCCCCATCACCCGTGGAAGTTGCGATTTAGATGAAATAGACAACAACGCGCATTCTAACTGGATTTACACCAGCTGCTCTTGAATGATGCCTGCGTGTCTGACGGGGATTTACTGTCTACTGGCATTTCTACACATTTGTTCAGGTATGGTTACTTACTCCCAAGACAGACTTCCTTATGTGTTTCAGGGACGTTTTAAAATAGCTGTTAATGTAATGGAATAGGGGTGATGAATTTGCTAAGTTTGATCCATCAAGCCCATCTGAGGGTATTTCTTTCACCTTTTCCTCAGCAGAATCTGTAGGTGCCCCCTTGACCCATGCTGTGTTCTTGTTGAAAGTGACCCATTTATCCACATGTTCTGCTGCAGTAGGCTACAGCAACACAGCCTTTTACAAGCAGCTCTTATCACACCGGTGGACATTAATCCGCAATGAGGGTGCAAAGAGCAAGAACAGAGCGATAGAGTCGGTATATGTAAGGGCATGTTTAATACCGTCAACGGCATCTTCAAAAGCATGAGGGGAGTCAAAGTAGGACATTGTTGGTTATCATCCTCAGTCAATGGGTTCATACATTACATGAGTTGCAGGAGGAGCACTTGGATAGAGCCTTTGTACCAGTCTGACCAGTGAGGATGTGTTACTTCTAATGGATGGAAACAAAGTAATCGATGCTGTGACAATTGTATGCATGGCACAATCACTATAGATCATTCTGAAGGAACTTGTATTTTTTGTTGTGGAAAAAAATTAAGAGTTAACTTTGGTCTTTTGGTATTTTAGCTTTTTCTTATATTTTGTCCCTTCATTTTTGAGTACGCTACACTGTATACAGTATTCTACAGCCTGGCTGCATCTATTACCATTATTATCATTGTCTAATTTCTTGATTAAATTATCTATTTGGTCTATAAATTACTTGTGCAAAATGATGATCAGTGATTTCCAAAGCCCATAATGACGTCCTCAGATGTATCTTTTTGTCCACAACTCAAATATATTTAGTGTACTGTCAAAGAGGAGTAAAAAAGAAGAACAATATTCAAAGTGAAGATGCTGGAATGGAGGGTAAGGGTAAGGTTTAGTTCTTACAGTTTTTTCTTAAAATTAATTAAAGCACTAAATCGATTATTGAAATAGTTAGCAAACCATGAAATAGTCCACAACTGATCAATTCATCTATACATTTTCTGATGTAATTGCTTACCAACACGTGAGACAGACAAAAATAAACTTTGGATTATCCATTATACTGTATGCTGGTGCTGTGTCTCTGTTGGAGGGTCAAGGTTCATTCTGGGAAAATGAACTCAAGCATAACATTGATATAACACTGATACTGCAGGTGGAGGTTGGGTGCACATCAGCAAAGAAAAGTTATTGTTGGAGTGCTGACAGCGTACTCAGGTTAATCTAGATTTTATTGGCTCAGGCAGCATCGCCACCCCAAGACACACTAATATAACGCATTATTTAGTAAGGCTGCCCACTCTCAGTCAATAATTCAAGTCATTAGTGGTTTTGTTCTTAGTTGAGTCAACTAAGAACAAAACCACTAATGACTTGCTGACAAAGATTACTTTAGTTGATAGGTCATTTATTTCAAAATAACTTATAAGCACATCTTTGTTAAATTGAAATGTGAGCTTTTGCTGGATTTTCCGAGGAGAAACTGTCGATTAAATCAACCAATCGATTATAGTCGACAAAATCCTTTGAGTCATAGTCACTTAAGAATGCATTTATAGGAAACAACCGTAACACAGTTCCAATAATATAGTAATAGTAGGTAGCTTGAGGCAAGATTTTTATTTGAAATTATTTTAACCAGACACCTGCTGTGGGTAAACACGGCCCACAAAACACATTTTGAGTTAAACACAAGGAACACAATACCATAAATAAACACGTTCTTTCTTATATTTCCACATATATTTCTCAAATTCTAAGCTATTACTGTAATTGTAAAGTAGTAATTTATGTCACAACTTTCAGTAAATAATCTGTCAAAAGGCCAATGAGTCTCTTCTTGGAACCACAGGGAAAGGAAAATACCGAATCACAAATGTTTTTAGAAATTCGAAGAGTCCCTCAAATTCCCCACTGGCGCCAGTCTTGTTCACTCTGTAACACAAAGACAGCTGTCAGTAACATTAGCAGTGGTCACAGACTGAAAACAGAACAATATATTTTCAGCACTAGAGCTTTCATAAGTGTCTGACTCTGAGTGATGGCTTTATTTGGCACTGGACTTCTTTTCTTTTACAGTGTAGAGGCAGCTTTTCCCATAGTTTATGCTCAAATGTGGGTTAACACTTATTGGGTTTGACACATTATTTGAAATTAACATATTATGAGTGTTTTTTTATGTAACATTTTCCAAACAAAGATGAAACACCAAATTCCTTTTTGTGACCAGAAGCTGCTCAGTGTCAACATGTGGATTCAGCCTTTTAGCAACTGTTTTCTTTCATTTCCGTAGTGGTGACTCAAAAGAAATAAACTTAAGTTTGCAATTCCACATGAAGGGCATGACAATGTGTATGACACCAATTTTCCAGTTCGTTTTCTCTCTAAATTTCCCAACTGACAAACATAGTAATTGTGCAATCCTGAGCATTTCAAAAGTTCTGAAATGGATTGGCGCTATTCTATACAAACCAGGAGAGTTCTCTAATCATTTGACAGACAATATGGCGAATGCACACCTGACATGAAACAACCACTTTTCCCAAGCCCAGATAATAGTAGAAAATTAGCAGAATGTACATCCTTGATTGTGTTTACCACATCCCACCATAGATTATAGGGATTTCTTACCTTATATCCAGGATAGCTGCCAGGTTTACATGCCTGCCCTTGAAAAAACTCCATGCCTAACAAATCGCAATCAGAAAGATTACATGTTTTTTCCAGCTTAATTGTGTTTAATGTACACAAACTCATTTTGTTGTAAAGGTTCTTGACTGTAAAAAAAAAACGCACAGAGGTCCATCATTAAGCTGTTAGAGCCATATTGTTAAGTGACTTCATAGCCCTCTGAACTGAGGGAAACCTGCAACTCCCCTTCGCTGGGACTTTATTCTCTGCATAATAAATCTGCCGACGGTAATTGGATGATACATAATAATCTAAATGACGGCCATTAAAAGCACATGCTCGTGTCGAGATGGCTTTGTCCCTTTTATCCTGCGCATCGAAATTATGCATCCCCAGAGTGATCGGCCTCGCCATTCCACCTGCTTTGTTTGATGGTCTGTAAACACTGTCTCAAAAGGAACGATGGGAAAATAAAAGAACAACAGGCTCATCCTGTTGTTCTTTGTAATGCTGGTTTAGCTTCCAACAGGATTTGAATGCTTTGTTAACGCTCCAAGTTCAGCCAGGGCTGATGGGATTAATATCTTCATAATAACCAAACTACTGTAGCTAAGCTAATAACTAGGCTAATTACTTTAGCAATAAGTGACCGAGGCCCTTTGAGGCTTATTTTATCTTTATAGACCCCCTCGTCCATGTGTTATCATTGGAGGAGGAACAAGTACAAGAGGGGCTCAGAGACCTGCAGAACACAGCCTAATTCCATCAGTGGCGTGTGCCGCAGCTCCATTGGGAACAGTGTGATTGAGACATCTGGCCGGTGTGCTGGAGTTAGTTTCAAAAAGGTCAGAGTTCACGTGTACCTACTCATGCTGTTTGGCGATTGACACTCGTGGCTGTGAGAGGTTGCCCGTTGTGACCCAAAATACTGGATACAGAACTGCCGGACTTTAAGTAATGATGGCTTGATTGTGGGGGAGCTGGCCCGCTGCGTCCTCCTCTAAGCTAACAAGGCTCCTCCCTGCAGTCTTTGTGGTGGTGACAGTGATGAGCCCAGTCCCACTGCTAATGAGCACTCCTTCGCCATGGATGATGGGACGGATGGGACATCTTTGCAAGCTGGCGAGAATTCCTTTGTTTGTGGGATGGAATTGTCAAATTGCTTATTTCCTTCCTTAGAGGTAATACAACTGATAAGCTTCACTGGAGACCATTTTGGTTGGAAAAGCATCCTGTTTAATGTTGTTTTTGTTGGAAAATGTGAAAGACTCAAGGTGTGGCTCATTAGCTGCTTCACACACACTGACTGAAAATGTGTAGAAACGACTCTGTTATTCAAGTGGTGCTCTGGTTTCTTGCTAATTTAGTATGTGCTTTTTTGTTCTTTATAGCTGGCAGGAACTCTGCAGCACACAGTGCTTTTTCAGCTTTGAATAGCTTAAAGGCTTTGGAGCAATTTATATTTCTCTCACCCATGCTTAAAACTTGGTTTTAGGTGTATTTCTAGACTTTTTAAGCCATTTTTGTCTCTATATTTTGAAAAGGTTTATTGGACAAACACCTTTAAGCCTTAAATGATGTGTTCGTTGTTACCCAGAGCATCCACAGACTCAGTCAAGATGAGGTTATGCCAAAGGAATGTTGTTTGATACAGGTGTTTTCGAGGTCATGATACCCATAAAAAAAGTGTGAACTTAGGTCCCCTGGAACTTATCAGGCAGAAAAACCGAGAGTGTATCCCTGTAGTCCCTCAAACCCCTGCAGACGTTGCTGCAATTGTTTGCTTCTGACTAAATGTGCATACATGCATACATAATGGTGTTAGCACAAGCTCGATTTTTAAATGTGTGTTTTCGGATTGTGTGCTGAAAGCTGCGTTTCATGATTGCTTCCCTTGTTTACTCACTGGTTTCCTGTGGTGCCGTGAGGCCGAGCGGTGCTGCCAACCCTGGGGAAGGGAAGCTACTGAGAGCGTTAACAAGCCCCCGCAGGCCCGGAGTTCACAGGTCATCAGACCTCCTCACATATATGTATATACGTACAGACACAACTCCTCATTTTCAGGATGATCAATAACGGATTGCTTGCCCCACAAAAGGTAGCCTGAAGGATCCTCCCACACTTATTCTACTTCCTTCAACCTCATCTTTAAAAATAAAATCACAGCATTTTTTCATTTATTTTCTCCATCTATTTTTGTTGTTTTTATTGGCAATGTTTTATTAAAGCACAGTAAAGACCTCTTTAGGCGCAACTACACAATGCAACGTCAATTTGATGATCGTCAAACAAATAAACAGCTATTTTAATAATCCAATAATT